TGACAATGTCCGCAAGAATCTTGATATCTCACCGCTGGCTACTGGAGTTCCAGGACTTTCTGGACTTGGTGACTCACTCGCCGTCCCAACTCAGGGGGAGTCATCTGCTGTTCCAACCTCTGCAACTAAGTCGGTCACCAAGACGACTACTACAGAAGGCGACAAAGATGATACGGCGGCTACCACCATTGACGTTCATTCTGACCAGCCATCACCACCCACGAAGGTTCCCGTTCGTCGTTCCACCCGCCGTCGTGGGAAGGCCATCGACGAGCCCCTTGTCCCTCCTGAACCTGAAGATGATGCATATGACCTGGAGAATACCTTCACCAATCGGTTTTATACTGAAGCGGCTCACGAACGCTTTGAGAACTTCGGGTCTTATGAGTTCTGGTCGGAACATCCTGTGACTGATGGTAAGTTTGCTGAACTCGGTGTTCTTCGTCTGATTGAGCAAGTGGGTCTTTCGAAGACCGTGTCTGATGTTAAGCCCTTTTGTGGCCAAGCTGTTAAGGAATTCTATGCTAACCTTACTCCTGCTGTGTTTGATCCTGCTAGCCCTCGTTTTTATAAACTTTTTCTTCGCAACCGTGTGATTGATGTGTCTCCCGCTTTGATTAATGCCCATCTTGGCTTGCCCTCTGATCTTGATAGTTCTTCTCTTATTGATCTTGATTCTGATGAAATGACCAGAGTTCTCACTTCTGGTCAGTTGGATACTTGGCCTGGTTCAAACCTGTCTGTGAACTCTCTTTGCTTGGTTGCTAATTTGTTGCACAAAATTGGTGCTGGCAACTGGACCCCTACGTCAAACAAAACCCTTCTTACTGAGTTGCAATGTAAAGTCATTTATTGGGTTATGATTGGGAAAGTTTTCAGCTTTGGGGACCTTGTCTTTCAAATCCTTCAATCCTTTGTTGCCAACAATGAGTCTCGTAAAACTCTTCCCTTTCCCTGCCTTATTTGGTCCTTCCTATCGGCTCATAATTTCTCTGTTAACCTTCGCTTCCAAGACTCTCTTGAGAATCCCCGGAAAGCACTCTCTGTTAGTGCTCGCACACTGAACGAGAAAGGAATTTCCAAGTCTACAAAGGAACTCGCTCCTTCCTTGGTTCCTAAGAACTGGGGTGAGTTTGTGGCTCAACAACTTGGCGAATGGGATGATTTAGCCAAGAAGGTTGCTGCTCAGCAAGCCTATCTTCGGCAGGTGCTTCAAGCTGTCAAAGGATCAACTCGGACTTCGGGGACAGGCCCTTCGGCATCCCGTAGTTCGAAAAAGGGGGAGAAGAGCAAGAGTAAGAGCAGTGTGAAGGATGCTGAAGAATCTGATGGTGATACTGAGAAAATTGAAGATGAGGAGTAGTGCTTGGGGTAGTTAGTTTTTATTTCTTTTGTGTTTTGAGGAGGAGGTCTTTATGTAGGTGTTATGTACTTTGATTTTCTGATGTTTGCTACTATTAGTTGTTCCTGTTGCTTGCTGACTATGATATCCACTTATCTTCTAATGATTTCTGTTGAATGGAATTTTATTTGGAATCATGAGTCCTGTTTTTGTTTACTGCGGGAACTAAGGGGGAGAACTTGTGATATATTGAACTAATCCTTACTTGAGTTTATCTGTTAGGTGCTTGTTGTTTTTATTGCTGTAGGAGACTTTCAAGTCTGATGTTTTCGAACTAGATGCCAAAGGGGGAGATTGAAAGATATTTTATTTTGGCATTAGTTCGATTAGTTCGAACAAGCACCTGGAACCACAGAATAAAAGGGAAGATCTTTGTATATCATATTTCCTTAAGTAGTGTTGTTCTATTTTCCTTATATAAGTTTATGTTGATCCTTTTACGGTTTGGATATAATAGGAAATTGCGTATGGAGAGATAAAGAGGAAGGAGAAAAGAGACATGCTTGGAGAGGAGATCAAAGAGAGAGAAAAGAAGATTTACTTGCCAAAGATATGCTATTATCTTGGAAGGAGATCTTGATGAAGTCCTATGCCTTGTAGAAGACTCCAACCCTAAGGAGATCATATATATACCCTAGAAGAAGCTTATGGCTGCTGTAGATTTTATAGTGAAAATAATTGAAGAGCCACAAAAGCTTCGTTTGCTTGCTGTTCCATTTGATTTGTATTCAGTTCAGTTTACGAGTTCTTACAAACTCTAGAACTGAAGCTGCTTTTGTTTAGTTCTTTATACATTCCATCAAAACTATTTTACGGTAGATACACTTAGGAAGTAAGTGTAGGTTTTTAAGTCCACGGGACGTGGCCGGAGAATTAGTTGATAGGATCAAGTAGTGTTGGCTAGATTTGAAGGGAGTTCAAGTCGTTGTAAGTCCAAACTATGTTCATGAGTGATCTATCAATGAAAGAGCTCTGAGGGGAAGTGGGATGCTTCCCTGAAGAGTTTATTAATCTTCGGTTATTTGCTTCCGCATTTTACAATTCTTATTGTAGTTCGTACTAATACTCGCGCACTCCGTGACAAATATAAGTTTCACACACATTTAACTACTTTACATATTACCCAATTACTATTTTGTATTTATTAGAAAAGTATAAAATAAAATTAAGTACCAATAGAAAACTTTCAAAAATTCATACACATAAAAGATATTGAAATAAATAGTTATGAAACATAAAAACTACACAATTTTGTAGTTTTATGATGTGTTTATTTATTGTACTTTGGTCATATTTTTCAATATTCAATACTAATTTGCTAATTTTAATGTCTATTTTAAAGTTCCATTGAATTTTATTTTCTCATTTTAATATCGAAAAACACCTTTAAAATAATCATATTAATTGAAATTATTGATAACCTTCAAAATACTTTCATTTTTTATAGAATGTTTTTTATTTTATAGATAATTTATTTTAAAATAGTTTAATGAACATTGAAAATATTTTAGAACTGATTTCACAATTGAGTTGAATTTATCTTGGGTATATACATGCTATACATGAATCCTATTTATATTTTTAATAATTTTCAATATTTTAATATTAAATAGATGGTAAAAAATAATAAAACAAACATTCATAAATAAAACTAATTTTATATTTATAAATATTTATTTATAATTATATAGTATTTTAGTATTAAGAATGTAGTAAAAAATCTTAACTATTAACTTATGAAAATATAAATAAAATTAAATATTCATAAAAATAATATATAAGTTTGGATTTAGGAGAAATATTGTTTGGGAAATGTTACATTGCTAGCTTAGTGTACAATTAGTTTGACAACACAAATGAAAACATCTATTTGTGTATTTTATTTATTTATTTTGTAGATGTTTGTCAACCTAGTTGTACATTAGTTGATCGTGTAGCATTTTTCATATTATAAACCATGCACATTGTATCAATCCAACACCATTTTGTAATATTTGAATTTTGCGTTTCTGAAATGTAAAAACGCGAACTTGACAAATTTGAGAAACTCCAATTAGGTATGCATTTGAGTGCCGGTTTGAGCATGTTTTTAAGCTTGTGTTTAGGAATGTGTCTCGTTGCACCATTGGAAATGCCCTTAGGGAAACAAATGCATAACAAATTTTCATTTGTAAATCTTTTGTGTGATGGCATAATCATTAGGTAGGTTGACCATCATCTATATTTATTTTTTATAAAACAATTATACTTACGTTATGAAATATTATAGTTTTATTTATGTTGTTTTTTAGGTTACGCCATTTTAGTTTGAAAGTATTCTAATTTATTGAAAAGTATGGTTGTCTAACCATTAGACCTGCCTAACATACCCTAAATGGTTAACTTTTTATCTTCTTGGAAGAATTCAAGTTAGTTATCACCACAATTTTCGGCCCGGACTAGATCGGCGAGTCGACCTGGCGCCCGAGTCGGTCTCGATGGATCATTTTTGGATCGGGTAACAATGGGGCTGGTTAAAACCCCCATCAACTCGGCATACACCTAGTCGATCGGTGCATTAAACGGGTTGGATCAATCCGACTTTACCCGACTACTATAATTTTTTTATGATTTGTTTAAATATTTTAGTATATTAGAAGTATAAAATATGCATATGTATTTATGTGATAGATACTTATAATGAGATATATTTATCAAGATTGTCAAAACCAGACCGGACTGGCCGGTTCAACCGATTGAACCGAGAACCTGCCAGTATACTGGTCCAGTTGAGGCATGGTGTTTTCTTTACAAAATAGTTAAGAAAAAATTAGTTTACTTCACATCTTTCAATAATATTATTAAAAAAATTAGATAATTCTACATATGTTATATAATATTTTAAGTGTTTTTAGTATTTTAAACATTATTTTTATATTCTTTTATACAAGATAATTTTATATTATTTATAATAAGCTGATATACAGTAAATTATATCACATGGTAACCTCACATGTTAATTTATAATTATTAACTAATATTGTTTACCCATATTTTTAATTTATATTTATAAATTATATCACATGTTACTCACACATTTTTAATTTATAATAATTAGTTAAAATTATTTACCTTCATTTTTAATTTATATTGTTATCCGCACGGACTATTCACTAGATGACAAAAATAAAATAAAATAAGCGACATCAACTTTATGCTCCACTCACCTGCACTTCTAAACAAATATAGGAAAAATCAACTTCCATTTGCAATTTTCAATTTTTCATCTCTTTCTTTTTCCCTACCACACTTTTTTCCCCCTTCGACACTAAAAATAACTTCATTTTGCACACAGCCTCTCCTTTTCTCTTTTCTTATTAGACCGACTTTATGAAATAAACAAGTGGTCTCCATTATCAAATGCTTCTAAGTTACTCCAACAGCCTGCCAAAATAAATAAATAAAATGCACCTACTCAAAGAGCCCAAAACATAACCTTAAGCAAAACTTTCCAGTCACAAAACCAGACTAGAAGTCTATATCTTTTTTGGCAATCTTAGGTGATTGTTGGAAGCATAATAAAGACACAAAGGACCACAGGTGATAGTCCAAAATAACAGCAAGTTAGTGTTCCTGGGCTGGGAACTGTCCTAAGGACCACATGTTCAGAATTATGCATTTGGAGTATGGGAAACACAATAATTGCAAATGCATGAGTCTCAACCCGTAAGTTACGAGCATCCCTGATGTGCTGCGTACGAAAATTAGAAGCTAAATGGCATGCTGTCGAAATTTCATCTAATGAAGAGGGTAAAAGTACTTTAAGAAAACTATAACAACCCATATTGTAACTCAAGTACAGATGCCCACAGCAAAAAATACATTAACAGTCGAACCTCGTCCCTAGCTCACTCGCCAATCGCCAGTTACATATTTTTTATGACATGTATTTGTACAACGAGAGAATACAAACAAAACCTCTTACCATGAAGAAAAATCTTTAAGATCACTGGAAACTCCCGCTTTTCTTTTCTTTCCTACAGATCCAGCTGGCAAATCAATATCAAGACTAGTGCTGGACGCTGCCTGAGCTATCTTTGCTTTCAGGTACTTCCCAACACCAGCACCGACAGCAGGAGTATCTGTTGAACTAGCAACTGGGTTGCTATACCACGAACCAACCTTATCCTGATAGCACCCAAGAAGCACGTTAAGAAAGCCAGAAAAATAAAAAGAATAAAAAAAAAGGCATAATTTCAGCAAATAGTCTTTTACGAACATTATCTTCGTCCCCAGCCTTCTTGTCCTCATTGGTCTTCTCTTCTTCCTCTTCATCAGACTCCGCATAAGGATTGACAAACACATCTATGCTAATTATCTTGATCTCTTCCTGAAAAGGGCATAGAAAAAAAATCATAAGTGGGTAACTAAAGCTGGGAACTGAATTTACAATATCACGTGGAAGTGATAGGCCTAAGTTTCAGGAAGCAAAAAAAGATGACCTGATGTATGGTAAGGACTAATTCAAAGGTAAAACATAATGTTCTTTGAAAAAATACAATTTTATTTCAGTTGCACCAACTGCTGGTGCATGAACTTCAATTTGCAGCAGTAAATGTCGTTCTAAAAGATGAACACTAATCTAAAAATCACAAGCTAAATTAACATAAGGAACTTAGTACTAACACGGTAAGTTACAATCTGCATGAATACTGCAGTATGATTCTGAGGTTGAATTTTGAGGGAGAGCCCTTGGTTCACAACAGCAAGTGGAAAAATAAATAAATAAAAAAAGGCAAAAGTGGGGAAGATTGCAAACCTTGGGTCGGTCATCATCATCAACAGGTACTTTCTCCATAGCCGAAAGTGTTGTTAACCCTCCAACAACCATTCCGAATACCGTGTGTTTAAAATTCAAATGATTTGCAGACTTGTACAGGATGAAGAACTGCGAACCATTTGTGTGGGGCCCAGAATTGGCCATGCTAACAACACCTCGTCCAGAATGAACTAATTTGGAGTTGAGTTCATCTTTGAAGGGTTTCCCCCAAATTGACTCCCCACCTCCCCCAGTTCCAGTAGGATCACCACCTTGAATCATGAAGTTTCTACATATCAAGTGAAATAATGCAGGATGTCAAATCAGAAACTAAAATGACTTAGAAAGGATCAATATAATTTAAAGTACCTTATACTTCTGTGAAAAGCTACTCCATTGTAATAACCTCGCTCACAAAGAGTAATGAAGTTTTCACATGTCCGTGGAGTGATGTCACAGTGCAGTTCAATGTTCAAATCACCATGTGTTGTCTGCAACCGGACATAACCTTTTTTCTTGGGATTTTTCTCGACTTTAACATATTCATATTCATTCTGGGTGACGGGATCATACGAAGTAGAAGTGAAAGATCGTGAAGCAGCTCCAGTGGTGAAACGACTTTTAACCTGAATGATTTTAGATAAACCCAGGACTTAATCCGGAGACAATTACTGTACGCTGCTCATAACATTGATTATTATTTATAAAAGAATAAATCTGTCAAAATTCAGTTAACTAACAACTAGGGTGGATGAAGTAATGAACAAAGATATAGATTTTCAACTAGATAAATTTTATAATTCACCACCATATAGCGATTTCTTCAACATAAGGAACATTGGACCAACTAGTTGTCTGGTTTGTATTTCAGGTATTAGGACTAGTATGAGCATTTAAATCCTTGCTGACCAAACATCACCAAATTGTAAATTTATAATTATTGGGACACCTTTTGTG